ACCGGCCACCGCGGGGGCGGCTGCCGGGGCACCGCGGCTCGGACAGGCCTTAATCAAATGTCCCTCTTAGCCACATCCGAATCATTTCACAGTGGATGATGTCGCAAAGAGGATGTACTCGAAATCATCGACACACGGACTCTGAAGTGATAATCAAACTAGTCAGTGCTACCTCCTCCACCCTGCACGGAGAGCCGGCTCCGGTTTTAATGCCGTGCTTCCGAGTCAGCCTGGAGAATCCGCTGCTGGACGCCATGCCGGCGCCTCAGAACGAGGAGAGAGAGAGAGAGAGAGAGAGGAACAGATGAGAGAGAGAGCAGGAGGGAGATAGAGAGAAAGAGTGAGAGGGGGGGGGGTGAGAAACAGAGGAGAGAGAGACAGCGAGAGAGACAGAGGAGAGAGCGAGAGAGACAGAGGAGAGAGAGAGAGAGGAACAGAGGAGAGAGAGAGAGAGAGAAGGAGAAGAGAGAAACAGGAGAGAGAGAGAGAGAGAGGGAGGGTTAGAGAGAGAGACGAACAGAGGAGAGAGAGAGAGAAACAGATGAGAGAGAGAGGAGAGAGAGCAGGAGGGAGAGAGAGAGAGAGAGAGAGAGAGAGAGAGAGATGTTAAGTCACTACCTTGTGTTGAAGTGTCATCCTCTGCAGTCTTATTATTCCCTTTGCTTCCTTTTGATTTTGTTGAATATGATATGAAATAAAACAACAAATTGTGACAAAATACCTCATGTTACCATCTGATGAGACAAAATGAAATAAAATAATAAAATTTTAAACTGTACCTGTTTTCTCACATGAGGACTGGGGACCGACATCACACAGCAGCGTTTGTCCTCTCTTAGCATCTGTCACGTTACACTTAAATAACTCATAATAGTTTGACTTCTGATTGAGATGAGTTGTAAATGTCACCTTTGATGAACAGACAGTATCTAATGTGTCCAACACATTCTTATCTTTTTCATCATACAGCCACTTCACTGTGTGTCCACAGCGTCCATATGTCAACACAGCGCAGATCAAGATGACTGTATCATTGTACTGTTGTTTCTCAACTGGTGAAGATGGAGATATTGTGAGAGAAAGACAACAAGAGTAAAATGAACTTCATCACTATAATCATAATTATTGTAATATTTCAGTATTTTGTTCTAACAAGACAGTTTGAGCTGAAAACATTATGATGTAAATACTCACTGTTAATAACAGACAGATCAACCTGAGAGTCTGGACCTTGTTGTTGTCCTGATATAAACTGTCTGCAGGTGTAACGACCAACATCCTTGTCTGTGACCTTCTTTATAACCAGAGAACAGTTCTCTGTAACATTCAGTCTGTCTGATATATCTTTGGAAATCCCAGTTTGACTAATCTTCCCAAGAGTAACCAGCTCTCTTGCTGTTCCCCCAGATGACCCCCAGATAATCCAAGTGGTACTGTCACATTTGTTCTGATTTTTAATCACATTTTCACAAGGCAAAGTGACTTCATCTCCAACTCTGACAGTGAAGGAAGAGTTTTGTCCAGTTACTGCTGTTGAAGATGAAAGATAATTATAAAAAAGTTACTGTCAAAGAATATGACATTTGTGTTCATAGTTACATATGAAGATAATATTAAATACATAAACAATAGCAAATGTGCCTTATACAAGAGTCCACTCAACGTAGGATGTTCAAAACACACAGCACACACAGCTGTCTCAAACATAAATTAATTAGTTGAGTTAGTTGCTTCACTAGGCCTACAATTAGTAATGTTTGTTAATGTTTCTTTTAGCCATCTGTGTATATATATCCTTACCTGTAAACAGAACCAGTATCACAAACAAAGACATTTTAATCCATCTGAACGGAACCATCTTGCTTCTCTCTCTCTCTCTCTTGTTCTCACGCTCTTAACTGTCAAAGTTTCTGACCTAATGCTTCTTATAGACAGATATAGCATTTACTTCCTGTTATTAGTAGCGTGTTACTTCCTTATAATGCATCTTTTATTAGTTTGTTGGATCTATGCTCATTGCTTTTGCTTTACACTTGTGACAATGGACATCCTGAAAAGCTGAGTAGGAGGACAGGAAGTTGAATTGGAAATGCAATTTTGAGTCTATGGCCCTAAAATACAGCTAAGGAATTAATTAATGTTGATGTTTTAACAACAAACAGACAAACAGACTCCTTTGTGAGGTGTAAAATGGTGGTGCAACCGATGACATTTTAGTGGTTTTAGAATAGTTGGTTCCTCATTGCTGCTTAGTATTCTTTTCTGAGAAATAAGGGAGGAGTGTTTTCACATGCATGTGATCACAACAGCAGCAGCAGCAGAGGTCTGGAGGTTTTACCCTAATGGTGCAGTCCTAGTGCAACCCACTCGTTTAAACGTGTGCCCGCCCTGCTCCGCTGTTTCCTTATTTAGTCTTGGTTTGGCATTTCCTGGTTGTACCAACAGCTGTTCAGAAGGTCGCTGGTACTTGATCAGCTGCCTATTTATATAGATGTATCACAAGCTTGCACAGTTTTGTGATCCATTTTGCTGGAACAGTTTAGTATCATACATACACATAGTGTGGAAGACACACAACTTTTAGCATTTTCAAATTATTCTGTAGCTTTAACATAGTTTACATATCCAGTACATGTATACGGTATATCTGTAAATAAATAAGCCTCTATTGTGATTCTTTTTCTTTTTCTTCTTTACCTTGTCTGAATCATTAATCCTTGAACTACCACCCAACAGTACATACATCATAGTACAATAAGGTGCCTGACTCCAAGTTCATTGAATGATGGGCTATCACGTTTACATAGTGGTAATAACTTACATGTACCCCTTCTGGACAAAAAGCGTTTACAGAAGGGTGAACACATGTTAAAAACAAACTGCAAGATTATAATACTAGAAAATAACAGTGAGTTAAAGAGATTAAATATTGTCCAACATTTAGATTACGTCGACATTTTATTCACAATACAGTATCAATAAAGCAAAGTTAGTGAATAGTTAAATTCAATCCATTCTTACAAAAACAACTTTGTTTTCACAGCAGAAAGCTTTTAGTTATGAAGTATAACTATAAAATGAATGCAATGATATTAAATGTAACTATATAATGTTAGATTTTGGTTAGTTGATGGTAGCATAAAGGTTGCTGTGATCAGCAGAGGCTCAAGCAGAAGAGGAGGATGCTTTCACAGTGTTGGAGGTCACCGCTTCACCACCACCCAGCACCTATAGGACACAAGTGACACAGTACCAGACATGAGTGACACACAGTGAGGCAACATGATGAAAGATAACACAATGCAGAGGAGCATCTAATATAACGCTTAATATTGCTATGTAAACAAACCGGATGCCATAGCAACACAGGCGAAGGGAGTGTGACATCACACCCTACTGAGGATAACTCCAATATATCTTTACATAGTAACAACAAATTGTTGTTTGCTCCTACTAATGTTTTAAATCTAGTATATATATATATATATATATATATATATATATATATATATATACATATATATAACCTTTAAAAGCACAAAATAACAACACTACATAAACACAGCACACCGCAACATCATAAAACGTAATAAAACACAAAGATCATCACATACAACACAACAAACATAGCTCACCATTTAACAGAGACCAGATTTAAGGGTAAAACAGAGGATGATATCTTTCATACATTCATTTTTTTATATATATATTGACTACCAACACTGTTATGACAGACAGCTTACCTGGGCTTTACAGTGGGTCTTCTAGCTGATGGAGGTGTAGGTGTCCTCACATGAGGACTGGGGACCGACATCACACAGCAGCGTTTGTCCTCTCTTAGCATCTGTCACGTTACACTTAAATAACTCATAATAGTTTGACTTCTGCTTGAGATGAGGAATTGTAAATGCCACACTGGATGCACAGGTATACTGTGATATCTCAGTGTCAATCTTATCATCATCGTCATCATACAGCCACTTCACTGTGTGTCCACAGCCTTCATATGTCAACACAGCGCAGAACCAAATGACTCTCTCATTCGTCTGATGTTCAGTCACTGGTGAAGATGGAGATATTGTAAGAGAAAGACAACAAGAGTAAAATGAACTTCATCACTATAATCATAATTATTGTAATGTTTCAGTATTTTGTTCTAACAAGAGTTTGAGCTGAAAACATTATGATGTAAATACTCACTGGTAATAACAGACAGATAAACCACAGAGTCTGGACCTTGTTGTTTTCCTGATATAAACTGTCTGCAGGTGTAACGACCAACATCCTCGACTGTGTGTATGTTGCTATTTATGTAGTTTTAGCATTTTTGGTTCCTCATTGCAGCTTAAATGTCATGGCTCTGCTCCCCTCCTGCTCCCTTTGCTCCTCCCCCCTTCCCTGTGTGTCTGAGGGTGCGGCCTCCATTCTCCTCACCTGCTGCCTGCTGTCTCACCTGCTCTCAATCATTCATCATGCCTCAGTCTTCAAGAACCCCGGTCTTCCTCCCATTCATCGCCAGATTGTTTCAGCCTATGTGGTGGTAACTCTCGTGGCTCCTCTCAGTATTGAGTTAGGCAACTTCAAGCTCTCTTGTGTTTTCCCTGTGCGTGTCCCCTTGTCTAACCGTTTCTCTCCCGTGCCCCAGGGTCCCTTGTGCAGTTTGGCTTCCTGTGTCCGCTCTCCTGTGTCTCCGGTCTCTTCCGCCATCTCACCCACCCGTTCCTGCTGTGGCCGCCCCTCATCCCCCCTGTGTGTGTGTGTGTGCGTGGAATAAAACCCCCTTTAAACCTTCCATACTGTCTGGGTGTCTGCTCCTGGGTCCAGTCCTAACACCAGCCCTGTCAGAACAATCTGGCCAGCATGGACCCAGCGGACCCAGACTCCGTCCGAAGCGCACTGGCCTACCAGGGACAACGAGTGGGCCAACACGAGAAGGTCCTCGACGGGATCGTGGCAGCCATCCAAGACCTTCGCTGTAGTGTGGCCGCCCTTGGATCCAAGCTCGATCAGGTCTCCACTCCTCCCACAGCTCCTACCACCGCCACTGAAGCAGCTACTCCCTCTGCCTCCCCAGCCATGCCGCATGCAGCCTCTCCTCCCCCCCCGCCCCGGGAACCACACGTTCCTACACCTGAACGGTATGCTGGGGATTTGGGGGCTTGTGGGCGGTTTCTGCTTCAGTGCTCACTAGTTTTCCAACAACAGCCGTTGACCTACAGTTCTAATAGCGCCCGAGTGGCTTTTGTGATTAGCTTATTGTCAGGGAAAGCAGCTCAGTGGGCAACCGCCCTGTGGGAGAAGCACTCCCTATTTGTGAAACCTTCCAGCGATTTTCTGATGAATTAAGAAAAGTTTTTGATCATCCAGTGCGAGGCAGAGAGGCAGCTAAACGCTTACTGAATCTTCGTCAGGGCTCTGGTTCAGTAGCTGAGTTCTCAGTCGAGTTTAGAGTTTTAGCGGCAGAGAGTGGTTGGGATGAAGAGGCGTTGCAGACTGTTTTCGTGCATGGGCTGTCGGAGGTTATGAAGGACGAGTTAGCGGCTAGGGATAGCGCTGCTAGCCTTGACGAGCTAATCTCACTAGCGATTAGGCTTGACAATCGTCTTCGTGAGAGACGGCGTGAGAAGTGGGGGCGCTCACAAGCCTCTCCTTTCCATGCCTTACCCAGAGCCACCATCTCAGTAGATCCCCAGTTAGCAGCCCCATGCAAACGCCCCTCGAGCCAGGTACCCCCCGAGCCCGTAGAAGAGCCTATGCAATTGGGTCGCACCCGCCTCACTCAGGCAGAACGCCAACGCCGGATGAGGTCCGGGTTATGCATTTATTGTGGCCAGCACGGTCACTTCTTGGCTGCCTGCCCCCAGCTGCCAAAGAAAGAAACGGAGAATGGTGTTGCTCCTGTGAGCCAAGTCCCCGCTTCCTCCTCTGCCCCTCTTAGTCGCTTGCAATTAAAAGCGTCCCTTCACTGGCAGTTAAATTCCATTCCCCTCACAGCACTAGTCGACTCAGGTGCCGAGGAGAGTTTCATTGACTCGGCATTCGTGCTTCAGGCAAACATTCCCACTATCAAACTCCCTGACAACCAACCCGTTAACGCCTTAGACGGGAAACATTTAGCCAACATTACTCGGCAAACCGTTCCCCTCACACTTATCCTTTCTGGTAATCACCGTGAGGAGATTAGCTTACTGGTTATTTCATCACCCAACACTCCTGTTGTATTAGGTTACCCCTGGCTAAAACTCCACAATCCCCAATTCGACTGGTCTACTGGCTCACTCATTAGCTGGAGTGCTCACTGTCATTCACATTGTCTCCAGTCCGCTAGTGTAACACATCCCACTGTTCCCAAACCTCCCGAGCCCCCTGATCTATCTGCCGTCCCTGTAGAATACCACAACCTAGGGGAGGTTTTTAGTAAACATCGTGCCGTCTCATTACCTCCTCATAGGCCATATGATTGCGCTATAGAGCTGCTCCCTGGTTCCACTCTGCCGTCTAGTCGCCTGTATAACCTTTCCAGACCTGAGCGCGAAGCCATGGAGAAATATATAGGTGACTCACTAGCGGCAGGGCTTATTCGACCCTCTTCGTCTCCGGTAGGGGCAGGTTTCTTTTTTGTAACAAAGAAAGACCAGTCCCTCCGCCCTTGCATTGATTATCGAGGGCTTAATGACATCACCATTAAGAATAAGTACCCTCTCCCTCTCATTGACCCGGCATTTGAACCCCTTCATAAGGCTAAAGTGTTCTCAAAATTAGACCTCCGGAACGCATACCACCTAGTCAGGATCAGAGAGGGAGATGAGTGGAAGACTGCCTTTAACACCCCTTTAGGCCACTTCGAATATTTGGTGATGCCCTTTGGATTGACCAATGCGCCAGCTGTGTTCCAGGCCATGGTCAATGATGTGCTGAGAGACATGCTGAACAGGTTCCTGTTCGTCTATTTAGATGACATACTCATCTTTTCGCAGTCCCAGGAGGAACATGTTCAGCATGTCCGGCAGGTACTCCAGAGACTCCTGGAGAACAAGCTTTACGTGAAAGCCGAGAAATGCGAGTTCAATGTGACATCCGTGTCTTTTCTGGGGGTTTATTATTGAGCGGGGGGCAGGTTAAGGCTGACCCAGCCAAGATTCAGGCCGTGGCTGATTGGCCGAGACCCACCACTCGCAAACAGTTGCAGCGCTTCTTGGGGTTTGCTAACTTTTACCGCCGCTTTATTAGGAATTATAGTAAGGTAGCAGCCCCCTGACTAAGCTCACCTCGGTGAAAGCACCGTTCGCTTGGTCCCCTGAAGCAGAAACAGCCTTTCTAGCCCTGAAGGAACTGTTTACTTCTGCCCCTGTGCTGCGGCATCCTGACCCCTCCCTCGAGTTCGTGGTGGAGGTGGATGCCTCTGACACTGGCATTGGGGCAGTACTCTCCCAGCGATCCCCCAAGGACCAGAAGCTGCACCCCTGTGCCTTCCTCTCCAGACGCCTGTCCCCAGCGGAGAGGAACTATGACGTTGGGAACAGAGAGCTGCTGGCGGTGGTGGTAGCCCTTCAGGAGTGGAGGCATTGGTTGGAGGGCGCTGCTCTCCCGTTCATCGTGTGGACGGACCACAAGAACCTGGCGTACCTCCGCTCAGCCAAGAGGCTCAACTCCCGTCAGGCCCGGTGGGCTTTGTTCCTTGACCGTTTTGTTTTCACCCTCACCTACCGACCTGGGTCCCGCAATGCCAAGCCAGATGCCCTATCACGCCAAGCCGACCCCGAGACGCCGGGGACTGAACCAGAGACCATCCTCCCGGCTTCTTGTGTGGTGGCTGCAGTGAACTGGCGGATAGAGGCTCTGGTGAAGCAAGCACAACGCTCACAACCCGACCCAGGTAACGGCCCCCTAACCGACTCTTTGTTCCAGACTCAACCAGGTCCCAGGTCCTCCAGTGGGCTCACTCTTCCAGGATCTCTTGCCATCCTGGTTACCAGCGAACACTGGATTTCCTACGGCGGAAGTTTTGGTGGCCATCCATGGCGAGAGACACGAGAGCCTTTGTAGCCGCCTGTTCTGTCTGTGCCCGCGGGAAATCCTCCCACCAGCTGCCAGCTGGACAATTACACCCCTTGCCCGTTCCAAGTCGCCCCTGGTCCCATATCGCCCTGGACTTTGTTACTGGACTGCCTACCTCTGAAGGTAATGACACCATTCTCACTATTGTTGACCGTTTTTCTAAGTCTGTCCATTTCGTGCCTCTGCCCAAGCTCCCCTCGTCCCTAGAGACTGCCAAACTCCTGGTCACCCATGTGTTCCGCCTACATGGAATCCCTCAAGACCTAGTTTCAGACCGTGGTCCACAATTCGCCTCCCAGGTTTGGCGAGCCTTCTGCCAGGCCTTGGGCGCTTCTGTCAGTCTATCCTCAGGTTACCACCCACAATCCAACGGCCAGACAGAACGGGCTAACCAGCAACTGGAGGCTGCCTTGCGCTGCGTCGCCGCCCGACATCCGGTCTCCTGGTGCACATTTCTTCCGTGGATCGAATATGCTCACAACTCCCTCACCTGCGCTGCCACAGGTATGTCCCCATTCATGGCAGCTTATGGTTTTCAACCTCCATTGTTCCCATCTCAGGAAGGGGAGGTGGCGGTCCCGTCAGTACAGGACCACCTGCGCCGCTGTCGCCGGATTTGGACTGAGGCTCGTGCAGCCCTGCTACGGACAGCGGCTAGAAACCAACGCCTGGCGGACCGCCACCGACTCCCTGCCCCCGATTACACACCTGGTCAGAAGGTATGGCTGTCTTCTCGAGACCTGCCATTGCAGGTAGAGTCTCGAAAGCTGGCTCCACGATTTATTGGACCTTTTGAAGTGGACAAAATCATCAATCCTGTGGCGGTGAGGTTAAAACTCCCTCCGTCACTACATGTGCATCCTGTGTTTCACGTATCTCTCCTGAAGCCTGTCTCCTCCAGCCCTCTGTGCCCTCCGGCCGACCCCCTCCGCCCCCCGGCTCATTGACGACCACCCAGCCTACACAGTTCGCCAGATCCTGGACGTCCGACGGCGGGGCCGGGGTTTCCAGTACCTGGTGGACTGGGAAGGGTACGGGCCGGAGGAGCGTTCTTGGGTTCCCCCGGCACTTCATCCTGGATTCCTCCCTTCTTTCGGACTTCTACCGATCCCATCCTGACAAGCCCGGTAGGCCGCCAGGAGGCGTCCGTTGAGGGGGGGTACTGTCATAGCTCTGCTCCCCCTCCTGCTCCCTTTGCTCCTCCCCCTTCCCTGTGTGTCTGAGGGTGCGGCCTCCATTCTCCTCACCTGCTGCCTGCTGTCTCACCTGCTCTCAATCATTCATCATGCCTCAGTCTTCAAGAACCCCGGTCTTCCTCCCATTCATCGCCAGATTGTTTCAGCCTATGTGGTGGTAACTCTCGTGGCTCCTCTCAGTATTGAGTTAGGCAACTTCAAGCTCTCTTGTGTTTTCCCTGTGCGTGTCCCCTTGTCTAACCGTTTCTCTCCCGTGCCCCAGGGTCCCTTGTGCAGTTTGGCTTCCTGTGTCCGCTCTCCTGTGTCTCCGGTCTCTTCCGCCATCTCACCCACCCGTTCCTGCTGTGGCCGCCCCTCATCCCCCCCTGTGTGTGTGTGTGTGTGTGCGTGGAATAAAACCCCCTTTAAACCTTCCATACTGTCTGGGTGTCTGCTCCTGGGTCCAGTCCTAACACCAGCCCTGTCATTAAAATTCTATCTGAGAAATGAGTTGTAAATATGTTGATGTGCATGTGGGCACAACATACATTTTCTTGGCCTTCTCCTGCCTTAATTAGATAGTGACAGCCGAAGATAGACAGGAAAGGGGGCAGAGAGAGAGGGGACGACATGCAGCAAAGGGCCGCAGGTCGGACCCGAACCCGGGCCGCTGAAGCAACTCTGTACATGGGTAACCAGTTCTAATAACTGAGCCAACCGGGTACCCCCCAACCTACATTTCTAGCTCCACATTTGTGTTAGGGCAGTGTCTTTGGAGGGAGACCTGAAGGGACAGGATGGGATTTTTTCATTTGGATGAATGACATGTATTCTATTCTAAAACATAAGTACGTCAGTAAGTTCAAATATCTATTTCCTCCCAAATATTCAATTCAATTATACGTCTGATATGGATTTTTTCAAGAGATTCATACCTTTGTGTTTTCACTGAGCTTTGCAGCAACCAACTATGAATTTAATACAGTGAGTTTATTCTGAAACCACATTTAGTGATTGTGAAGACCTACCAAACTGTTTCTTGAAAATTCCAGACTGTGTAAACATTTGATTATTAAGGTTTAAAACTCACAATGTGTTCATCCATCTGTGTTCTGTTCCCTGAAAAGACAAAGGAGAGCTGTGTTTAGTTTCCACTGTGAAAATCCAGGTTTATCCACACGACTTGTTTCATCTGTGAATGTTCTCACCTTTAGTTTTTGTCCATATGTTGACCGCTACAACAATTGTTAGGAGTGCTGCTAAACCCACAGACACAATGAGGAACCTCCACCAGTCTGAAACGAGAATAAAAACATTGAAACATCTTTTTCATGGCCACTTTATTTTCTCCTTTGCAGTTGAGCTGCAGTTTTGAAAATGCTTCTTTTCTTTTCTTTTTTTTTTTTCTACCAAATTCAATCCAATCCCTATGTACAAGAGATTAAAAATACCAACAGTCACAGTAAGGATAATTAAAAAAATGTGCAACCATGTGCAGAATTCTTTGTGTGAATTTGTGTAGATAAATAAGTGAGCAACAACAAGGTTTGAGACTCCAATGTGTAGATAAGATAATATCTCCACCTACAGCCATGTGTTGGTCTGATAGTTATACGTCTATACTATAGAGAGAGACAGTGAGAGAGACAGTGAGAGAGAGTGAGAGAGAGAGAGTGAGAGAGAGAGGGGAGAGAGAGAAAGAGAGAGAGAGACACACTACCTTGTTGTTCCTCTTCAGTCTCCACTAAGATGCTTCCTGTTGATATGACAAGACAAAACGCAACAAATGGTGAAACAGTACCTCATGTTTACTATCTGAAGAGACTTAATGAGAAAGAATAATTACATTTTAAAAACTGAAATTATTGAAATAAAACCAACTGTACTAATTTTAAACTGTACCTGTTTTCTCACATGAGGACTGGGGACCAACATAACACAGCAGCGTTTGTCCTCTCTTATCATCCGTCATGTTACACTTACATAACTCATAATAGTTTGACTTCTGCTTGAGATGAGGAATTGTAAATGCCACACTGGATGCACAGGTATACTGTGATATCTCAGTGTCAATCTTATCATCATCGTCATCATACAGCCACTTCACTGAGTGTCCACAGCCTTCATATGTCAACACAGCGCAGAACCAAATGACTCTCTCATTCGTCTGATGTTCAGTCACTGGTGAAGATGGAGATATTGTGAGAGAAAGACAACAAGAGTAAAATGAACTTCATCACTATAATCATAATTATTGTAATGTTTCAGTATTTTGTTCTAACAAGAGTTTGAGCTGAAAACATTATGATATAAATACTGTCTGCAGGTGTAACGACCAACATCCTCGACTGTGACCTTCTTTATAACCAGAAAACAGTTCTCTGTAACACTCAGTCTGTCTGATTTATCTTTGGAAATCCCAGTTTGACTAATCTTCCCAAGAGTAACCAGCTCTCTTGCTGTTCCCCAAGAAGACTTAGTGGCAATCCAAGAGGTACTGTCACATTTGTCCTGATTTTTAATCACATTTTCACAAGGCAAAGTGACTTCATCTCCAACTCTGACAGTGAATGAGTTTTGTCCAGTTACTGCTGTTGAAGATGAAAAAATAATATAAAAAATAACTGTGAAAACAACATGACATTTGTGTTCATAGTTATACATGCAGATGATATTAAATACAACAATCAACTCAACAAACTATGTCCAAAACAAACTGCTGACATGTTTTATTTAAAGTTAGTTAAATAGGCTTCCAATTAGTAATGTTTTGTCTTGTTTCTCTTAGTCATCTGTGTGTATATATATATATATATATATATATCCTTACCTGTAAACAGAGCCAGTATCACAAATAAAGACTTTTTGATCCATTTGAATTGAACCATCTTGCTTCTATGTCTCTATCTCTTGTTCTTACGCTCTTAACTGTCAAAGTTTCTGAGCTAATGCTTCTTTAAGAAAGATTCACTTCCTGTTATGAGTAACAGGTCACTTCTTCACAATGACTTGAATCTTAGAAAGAAAAAAAAAAAAAACTTATCTCACATGAGAAATCTTCATAGTACTCAGATCTGAATCTGGGTTGTTGATAGTTTTCACTCATTTCATACTCATTGATTGATTTTGTATTATAATTTGTAGGAATGTTGTTTATGACATCCTAAAAAGACGAGACAGACGAGAGGAAGTTGAGGTAAAAAATGCGTAGTGATGTTTCACGTCACACATTCATGAAACAATATGTTGCTATTTACGTAGTTTTAGCATTTTTGGTTCCTCATTGCAGCTTAAAATTCTATCTGAGAAATGAGTTGTAAATATGTTGATGTGCATGTGGGTACAACACCGTCAGAGCTCTGGAGGTTGATCTGGAACAGTTAACAATTTATCACATGATGCTCTGACTCATGTGGAAATTTATTTTGTCCTTAAAGTTTTGGAGTCACTCAATCTGTGTTTGCTGATAGACAATAAATTATTTAACATATTTATCCTGAGCATGTAGCTCCGATGGTTTCACTCTGATTGTTTTCTTCTTTTTTAAGCATGCAGCATTTGTCTAACATACAACCAAGTTATGATAGTACAAATGCGTGTGTGTTTGGCAGACATTATTATTATTACACCTTGACTCATGTGACAAGTAATTTCTAAACTTGTCTCATGATAGATGTATATACATATATATATATATATATATATACATCTATACATCTATACATATATATGTATGTATGTATGTATGTTAAATATTGTAGTTGTAATAAACTGAAACATGCTTTAAAAAGATAAAAATACAATAATGACAGAAAGTTCACTAAGCGAAATGTATCATATTTATGTTGCAATCAGCCATATGCATGTTGGGCTATTACTTTTAAATTGTAGTACCTTAACTTAAATCTTCCCCTTCTGGACAAAAAGCTTTTTACAGCAACAAGGGAAAGAAAGGGGAACACCTGGTTGTGCTAAAAACAAAATTTCAACATTATAATACAAGAAAATAGCAATGAATTACACAAAATGAGGATTAAACATAAAATACTGTCTAACATTTGGATTTCATCGACAATTTCTCCACAAGAATCAACACAGTCAATCCATAGTCACTTTTTCAATAAACATTGACATGATTTTACGATGAAGAATTCATGTAAAATAATAACTCTATGTCTAGGTTAGTTGATGGTAGCATAGAGGCTGTTGGGGTCAGCGGAGGCTCCAGCAGACGAGGAGGGCGCCCTCACAGTGCTGTAGGTCACTGCCTCATCACCACCCAGAACCTATAGGACATAAGTGACACAGTACAACATGTGCAGAGCTCAGGACAAGAGAGGAGGACGCGGACTCTGTGTTTACATCGATAATGCTCGGTGTCCAAACGCAGTCAAAGTGGATGGACTGGAAGATGATACACTATTATCATCACTATATTGTTGCTGCTGTTTCAAATTTCCTCTGATGCAAATTCAAAAAATGCACTGCAGAATTATTATTCTGCATAGTTATGGGTGTATATGTATATAAATTACTGTATATGTAGTTTTATTTGATTTATTTTACATCTTAACCAATTCTGAGATAAATTCAATTATGTGTTATGTTCTACATGTGTAGCATGAAGGGACTATGAGCTTTAGTTTCATTGTACAACCTTATGTTGTATAATGATAAATAAAATTACCTTGATTTAAAAAAAAAAACAGTGCAATGCATGGCAACTCAGTGTAACACAACAAGGCAAACATATCACCCCAATCACAAGATTATAAGGGATTTAAAAGTAACATTTATATATTTTTTTCTTCATTCACTACCAACACTACTATGACATCTTACCCGGGCTTTACTGTTGGTCTTCTTGGTGAAGCTGATGGAGGCATAGGAAACACCATCTTCAGGATCAGCCTACGCAATGAAAACAACATCATGACTATACTCAGTAACATGTGGACTCACTCTCAAACCTTTATTCTAGTCTATCACAGTCAATATTTTATCTTCTTTTACATTAGCCAGGAGGTCCTGTTATGTGTCTTGTGTCTGTCTCAAAATGTTGTGAAAACTCTTGTTTATCACATGTATTTGGCTTTGAGCCTTCTCCTGGTTTTGATTCAAGGTTGTAACTCTCTCCCATCTCGTCAAATACTGCCGCTTGGTCCCAGATTTCAAAGTGGATTTTCTGTTTAAAACTGTGTGATTGCCCTCAACAAAGCTAAAATGTGGTCCTAACTTCAACATGTCACAAAACACAAATTTGTGTAATCATTTTGATGATTTATTTCAGTTGTAGGTTGGTAATTCTGGTGTAGTTGAGTCACACTTTTCCTTCCCCTTTTTTCTTTCTTAGAGGCAGGTGAGAGTCTATTTCATGAAGTTATATTTTGGGGAACAAAGACAGATTTCAGTGAGTGTAGTGAGTGTAGTGTGTACTCTCACTGCGGCTTGACTGGTTTTTGGAGCGGTCTGAGTCACTGCAGGATCTGAAGTCAATGCCTGGGCAAACAGATGCATGTATTACACAGTATCCGTATGTGTTTCATTGTCCCAGGTAATACATGTTGTGTTGATTCTCAAAACACTTCAACTCTACTGCAGTCCAGCAGATAAATATATATTCTCTTGACAAAATGCAATCAAATAATAAATAAATAAATACTGTGAACTCTGATGGTATTTTGTAGGCCGAAACTTACACTCAGAAGGTATGGTTCTGGTTGTATATGACTGCATTATAGGTGTACTTAAAGGTGGTTCTAGGTAATGTGATTCCAATAAACACAAATTCTGCTAATATCTTTTCCTGCTCCTAATATTCAGCTTCAGCTGTATTGGACCACAGTTACACAGTGAAAACGAACTACACAGACACCAGTTTGCTCTGTAATGGTATAAATATTCTATAAGCCAGTTGATTTTAACTCACAATGTTGTCATCCATCTGTGTTTTGTTTGCTGAAAAGACAACAGTAAGACTCGACTTTAGCTTCTACAGTGAAAATGCTGGTTTATCAAAAAATCTTATCCATAGAATATATTAGTATTGTCACCTTTATATCTCCAACTCACAGCCGCAACAACAATTATCAAGAGTGCTGCTAGACCCACAGCAACAAGGATGTACCACCACCAATCTGGGATAGAAAAAAATATATAAAAACTTTTGTCTCCAGTTTTTTCCAAAATCTTTTTTATACAAAAAATGTTCGTGCTTTTCATAAACTTATGAAACAGTAATTTACTATATTTCTTACTAAATCAAATTACAAAAACTGCTCCCACTGCTTCCTCCCTGTGACTTTTGACATCCAAAACACAGAGAGATTCATAATCATTACCTTGTGAGTTTCTTGCTCTATCATTCTGTATTTTTTCCCACTGTTCTTATGGTTGTTGCTACATTTGAGTCCTTACTTGGATAAATAAAATGACAATGGCAAACTGTTTATAAAAGACCTCTTGTTGTCCATCTACAGTAACTAAATAAGAAAGAAGGGTATAATTTAAAAGCAATGCAGTTTATTTTTCATATCAGTGATATCATATGAAATGATTTTACACAGCTCACACTTTGTTTTCTCACCTGCGGACAGACGGCTGAAGGTAAACTGCAGTTCCTCTCCAGTGTAACTATCTTTCACATTACACTTCGCTAACTTGTAATTCTTTGCAGTGCCAAAGGTCACATTGGCAAAGCAGGTGCGCTGTGATGTCTTCAAGTCTTGGTTATCATTATCCACATCTTTATCCTCATTCAGCCACTTCACTGTGTATGTACATGGTCCATATGTCGACAGAGAGCAGCTTAATGTCACCTTATCAGAGTCTTTATGTTCAGTCACTGGTGAAGATGGAGATATTGTGAGAGAAAGATTAACCTTAACTTTACCACTACTATCCTAATTATTATTAATTAAGTCCAATGCATGAGTACTTTGTTCATACAAGACAGTTTGAGCTGAAAACATTATGATGTAAATACTCACTGGTAATAACAGACAAATCAACCAGAGAGTCTGGATCTTGTTGTTGTCCTGATATAAACTGCCTGCAGACGTAACGACCAACATCCTCGACTGTGACCTTCTTTATAACCAGAAAACAGTTCGCTGTAACACTCAGTCTGTCTGATTTAGCCATGGCATCTTTGTGAATCTGCCCATTTTCAAACAGTGTTACTGTGTTTCTGGAACCACTGAAGATCCATGTTGTACTGACACAGCTATGGTGATCATTTATCACATTTTCACAAGGCAAAGTGACGTCATCTCCAGCTCTGACAATCAACGAGTCTGAACTTTGTCCAGTTACTGCTGCTGAGAAGATAAGAGAGAAATAAAGTAAATTATGTTCACTGTTAATGTGAGGAGGATTTTAGGTACGACAGATGCTTCAAAATGTGTCATCCGTACACGACTCTGTTAAAATCACTATAATAAAAACAAACAGCAGCCTTGGCTGAGCTGAATTAGTTGCATTACTAAAATAAAGTTTTGCAATGTTTCTGTTGCTATATGTATGTTACAACATACGGCAAACTACAACTGCCCTCTCTTCTTTTCTGTCTCTTGTTCTCATGATCTTCAGTCTAGAGTCTCTACTACTACTTCTACCATGACTATTAGTGTTTCATATTATCTACTTCCTGTTCTCAATTAAGTGTCCCCTGTTCATGGTGATGTCAGGGTTTTTACCTCTCCTGTAATTTATTGATTTTTGAACTGATGTTGACAGAGCATAGTATCAGCTTCTCATCTCTTAAAAAATGTTTGCAGTTACTGTATATCATGAGCCAAAAACCTAGTTAACATTTCTACAACAAGCTGGTGCTCAAATATACAGTATGTACGCATGTGTAAGATTAAATACATAGGAAGTCAGAGGTGGTTGGAGTTGCAGGTGGCTCTTTCCACCCATTAACCGCTGAAACCACAATGCACTTTCTCTCCTCTCCACTGCCACGAGTACTTTGTGTTTATAATGATCTCTTAATGTAATGCTTCTGAAATGTGCTGGATTTTGAATGATTTCTTTAAATACAGTTAGTCTGTGACTCACTGATTCCTCATTGTAGCTTTGTCGTAAGAGTGGGAAGTTTTTCAGTGAGAATGTGGTTAACAACAGTAGCAGAGCTCTGGAGGTTTTACCCTCTAATGACGATCAGAAAAGCATCAAAATGAGTCAAGGCTCACAGGAACAGATAGACAACGTAAGAAAAAAAGGCACCCATTGGAGTGTCCATCTTTTACTTTTATCTCTACAAATATCACTGTTAAAAAAAACACTTTTGCAAAAGTATGTTACAAGTTTGTGTCTGTACCTGTAATCTGAAGCACTGGTGTCAGTAAAAAAGATATTTTAATCCATCCGAATTCAGCCATCATGCTTCTCTATCTCTTTCCCTCACTTTCTCTTTTTCCTGCTGTGAAGTTAAGGTCACCTTCTGCACCTCAGCATTGACTGGTTTGTACAGCAACAGACGAAAAAAGAGCGTCAAAATGAGGAAGTGAGACCCAGTCACAGGAAGTAGATCACTTATTTCCATTTGGTTGATTAACACAACTCTCATGGGTGATAAATAAGGTGTGCACAAAGCCACTTCATCTCATCTTTATTTTTAGTTCAAATTAAACACCTTACCATTACATGATACAGACAAAGTATATACAAAGTAAATATAAAAAACTATGAACATATGTATATAAAGTTTTTTATGGGACGAGACCAAAAATATTTAAATAAACTAAAATGCATACAAAATACAACAATGATAGCAACAAAAGATACAGAAGGGAGACAACACACATACAAAAATGCAGTATAAGTTGGATGACTGTAGTTTAGTATTTAGGGCAGAAAACTGATGCAAAAGTTGAGTTTTGAGTTTATTTTTAAAAGTGTTTCACAAAATAAAAGTGACAAAACCCATCACAGAGCTCAATAAAGTTTACAAGAGATAAGTGGTATGAATGTCAGGTTCTTACTTTCTACTTGCTACTTGTAAACCTACTACACCCCCTTCTGGACAGAAAAGCCCAGTCCTAAAAATGATCATAAAAATAATTGTAACAGAAATTTTTTTTAACATGTTCATGTGAAAACTGAAATGCAAAACTACAATATTATCATTGTAACAACCTGCCAAGCCAAGTTATGCTCAAAAACATAAATATATTTTAAACACTGTAGGATTTTGACTGCATGTACAATCTTATAATACAACACAGTATGAGTGAAAAAACAAACTTAAATAGGTGTGATGATATGAGCTGTAACTATACTGTGGTCTCTTATTTGTTTGGTTTGTTGACGGTGGCGTAGAGGTTGCTGGGATCAGCAGAGGCTTCAGCAGAGGCTTCAGTAGAAGGGGAGGAAGCATCTTTCACGGTGGCGTAGGTCACTGCTTCATCATCACCTTTATCGCAAACCTTTAAAATAAAAGAGAAACAGCACAACACATAAATTATACAACAGGACATGACACAACATAATTCAGCACATTGTAATCCAACACAACGGTAAAGCAGAGCAAAGCAGCACCCCGACACTGAAAAACAAACGAACACAACAAATGATGCAATGAAATACAACAAAACATATAGAAACACACCATAACCGAAATGTATGAGCTCAAAACACCCAAACAGTGTTTCGCCTGTTCTAGACAAACCAAACACTGGCTCTAGATAGATTTGTGGCCACCATACTTTCTCCTACATGCATGGAAGGTGAGTGGTATTCAGTTTGTTGCAATCTGCAACTTCACCACTAAATCCTACAGATTGGTCCTGTAAAGAATATAGAGATTCCCTGTCTTTTCCTCTAGTGCCACCATGAGGTGAACATTTGTGGTTTTGAAAAGTGAAAAGTCTTAACAATTATAAGATGAATTAACATTATGTGTGCAATTTCAGTCCCCCCCCCCCCATGATTTTTTGCCATGGCCCTTTAACTTTTTGTGCCAAATTCTGTTCAAAATATCAGTTTCTCCAATACCAAGACCAAATACTTGTAAAACTACATTACCATCATCCTTAGCTGTATTTTGTGTTTAGTGCTAAGATGCTGAGATACTGTGGCTAAGATTAGCATCAGCACTATCAGATACTAGCGTTATCAGTGGTGAGAATGTTAGCATCGTGGATGTGGTTAGCATGCTGCATGACGCATTTAACTCAAAAACCACCTCTGTGCAGCCTCAAAGAGGCACTGACATGGTTGCTGAATCTTAGTCTTGTTTCTTCACTGCCAACCAATCAGAGAGCTTACCCGGGCTTTACTGTTGGTCGTCCTATAGCTGATGGAGGCGTAAGAAACACCATCTTCAGGATCCAGCTGCACAGAGAACACAACATGTGTTACTGACTGCGGGCATTCTAGTGTAGTTGCATGATTAACTTCTCTTTTTCTCTGTTGCACAAGGAAGTTTGAAAAAAAATTGAATTTGTATTGGGCGTAGTGTGTGATCTCACCATTTGCTGGCTGGTTTCTGGAGTCGCTGCAGGGTTTAAGCTCAGTCCCTGTGAAAACACAGTCACAGTCACAGTCATAGTCATAGTCATAGTCATAGTTTTCCATTGTTCTTCCCCTGTTCGTTTTTTCCCTAAATACATTCTGAATCTGAAATATTTTCAACATTTTTTACCCTGGCCAGCTGCAACTGAGCAGTGTCAATGCAATATAATAAACATTTGATTATTGAGGTTTACAACTCACTTTGTTTTCATCCATCTGTGTTCTGTCACCTAAAAAGACAAAGAGAGTCGACTTTAGTTTCCACTGTGAAAATCCAGGGTTAATCCAAATGTCTTTTCACGGTTGATCTCACCTTTGGTTTTCTTCCATCTGATGACAGCCACACAGATTATTAAAAGTGTGGCTAAACCCACAGCCACAATGATGAACCGCCACCAGTCTGGAAGGAGAATAAAAACATAAAGACATAAAAAAAAAAACATAACATAAAGACACAAACGTAAAACCTTAAGTTGACAAAAATCTTCAAAATCTTTATGAAACACAACTGCTTATTTTTTCACCCAAATCATTCATATTTTAGACACCATAAGGACAGTGTGTGTGTGTGTGTGTGTGTGTGTGTGTGTGTGTGTGTGTGTGAGAGAGAGAGAGAGAGAGAGAGAGAGAGAGAGAGAGAGAGAGAGAGAGATGTTAAGTCACTACCTTGTGTTGAAGTGTCATCCTCTGCAGTCTTATTATTCCCTTTGCTTCCTTTTGATTTTGTTGAATATGATGTGAAATAAAACACAACAAATTGTGACAAAATACCTCATGTTACCATCTGATGAGACAAAATGAAATAAAATAATTCAATTTTAAACTGTACCTGTTCTCTCACATGAGGACTGGGAACCGACATCACACAGCAGCGTTTGTCCTCTCTTATTATCTGTCACGTTACACTTAAATAACTCATAATAGTTTGACTTCTGATTGAGATGAGTTGTTAATGTCACCTTTGATGAACAGACAGTATCTAATGTGTCCAACACATTCTTATCTTTTTCATCATACAGCCACTTCACTGTGTGTCCACAGCGTCCATATGTCAACACAGCGCAGAGCAAGATGACTGTATCATTGTACTGTTGTTTCTCAACTGGTGAAGATGGAGATATTGTGAGAGAAAGACAACAAGAATAAAATGAACTTCATCACTATAATCATAATTATTGTAATGTTTCAGTATTTTGGTCTAACAAGACAGTTTGAGCTGAAAACATTATGATGTAAATACTCACTGTTAATAACAGACAGATAAACCAGAGAGTCTGGACCTTGTTGTTGTTCTGATATAAACTGTCTGCAGCTGTAACGACCAACATCCTTGTCTGTGACCTTCTTTATAACCAGAGAACAGTTCGCTGTAACACTCAGTCTGTCTGATATATCTTTGGAAATCCCAGTTTGACTAATCTTCCCAAGAGTAACCAGCTCTCTTGCTGTTCCCCCAGATGGCTGACTGCCAATCCAAGAGGTACTGTCACATTTGTCCTGATTTTTAATCACATTTTCACAAGGCAAAGTGACTTCATCTCCAACTCTGACAGTGAAGGAGGAGTTTTGTCCAGTTACTGCTGTTGAAGATGAGAGATAATTCTACAAAATTAACTGTACGAAGAGTATGACATTAATGTTCATTGTTATGCATGCAGATGATATTAAATACAACAAACAATAGCATATGTCCCTTAAACAAGAATCCATGGCCATCTCACTTAAATTAATCTTAGTTACTTAAATACTATTAGTCTTAGTTTGTCTATGTGGATGTGTATCCTTACCTGTAAACAGAAGCACCAGTATCACAAATAAAGACATTTTAATCCATTTGAATTGAACCATCTTGCTTCTCGTTATCTCTTGTTCTCACGCCCTCAACTGTCAAAGTCTCTGAACGAATGCTTCTTTAAGACAGATACAGCATTTACTTCCTGTTATGAGTGTTACTTCCCTATAATTGATCTTTTTTACATCTGTTGAATCAGCTCGTCAGTTTTTAGCTCCACAGATAATGTGGAGGGAGTCTCCGGCACTGACTAATGACACCTCCTTCAGTCAGAGTTGAACATCAGGTCAAAATGAGAACCTCAGACACGAGGAATCTTCATCGTACCAGTTGAGATCTGTATCTGGGTTGTTGGCATGACGATGAACTCACACACCACCCAAAACCACAACACACACTTCCTCTCTATCTAAAACATACATCCTGTTAATAATCACATCCTATATTAATATTATACATAGTTTTTAGCATGTCTCACTGTGCACAGGGGTAGTACTTGCAGTTTAAGAACTAATATGAGCTGATTTGAGTTTTAGAGTAAAGGTGAACAGACAGAGACAGCAGATTTAACAGGATTTGTTTGCATTATATCTGCAGCAACGACGCTTATGACGCACTGAATGACGAGGAAGAGGACAGGAAGTTTAGTTGGAACTGTGCGACCACAGGACTAAAATACACCTGAGTGAAAAAAAAAGAAGATAATGTTTGACACCACACGTAAACACAAAAGTGAGTCAACCCACCCACCAGAACCTGACGTCTGAGGCTCATGGTGCAATATAGATGGGGTAAAATAATCATACTGTAATGGTTTTAGAATAGTTTCTTCCTCATTTGTAATAATACTTACGTATTATATCTGAGGAAAGAGTGGGAAGTAATCTGACCGTGCTCTGTTTGTTATAGTGATGGGTCGGTCGCGAACGATCCGGCTCTAAGAGCTGGCTCTTTGAAGTGAACGACGGGAGCCGGCTCCTGATTGGGTTAAAGCCACGTGATTGGTCAAGATGTGTGGCGGCATCTGTGTATCTACACTGAGCAGGAGGGGGAGGGAGGGGTTACAGACACACACGGCACAGTGAGCACGTGAACCGGTGGGAGGGAGATGTGAGAGCGAGAGACCTTGGCGCTACATAGACAGAGACTAAACACTGGAAAGGGCGAGGAAAATGAGTGACAGGAAACGTAGTAAAGTTTGGACACATTTTAATGTGATAGTTCAAAGGCAGAGTGTAGATTGTGCAAAGTTAAACATTTCATATCAAGCAGCTTTTTGTCTAATTAAGATGGGTCTTTGTTTTTGTGTTTTATGATTTATTTTTGTAGCACTCTGTTCCATGTTGAGTATATTAATTAATCCATATAAATACTAAACATTTAATATAATGCATGTATTTACATTAGATATTAATTTTACACATAATTTGGTAATAAATTAATTTAAGCAAAAAAAAATATGAGGAGCCACTTGGGAGCCGAAAGAGCCGGCTCTTTTTAGTGAGCCGAGCCAAAGGAGCCGGTTCTCTAAAAAGAGCCGGAATTCCCATCACTAGTTTGTTACACAGACCCATATGGGGAGCTTTTTGTAAAAGGCCAGGCACTTGGCAGGTGATTGTATGAACCATCTGTCTATCACTGTCTGTCAGGGGCGACCTTCAACCAATCAGATCAGTCAGCGCCGGTCGGCCCTGTACGCACACTACGCAAGTTGCGCAAGGCCCCGCACATTACGCAAGGGACCCGCCTCCTCCTCCTGTCTGTCACTACGGATGACAGCGTGTACAACTTCAGTGAGAGGATGAACGGAACCACCAGTCATGAAAAGAGAGAGACTTTGTGCAGGACAAAAGTGAGAGTGAGATACAACTAGAAACAGTGTCTATAAAGTAAAGAGAGGAAAAAGATAAAGAGAGGAGGCGGCGAGGAGAGACAGAGAGGAGAGGAGGAGTCGAGACTCCAGAATGTAGAGGATGTCATACTTTTTTTATTTTTATTTTAATCATGACCAATAAAGCTGCCCTTTCATCAAAAAATGTAATCTCAGTTTGCTGCTCTACTGTATATAAAAATATTTGTTATTTGTTTTGTGTTCTTTACTTTCAGGGAATGTACTGCACCAAACTCCCTTTAAGAAATATGACATTTTAACTATTCCTTACGTGTCCGTAACAACACGGAAGTCTAGAAACACGAGCTGAAGTGTATCATATGTCCACAGTCTGACTGTCAATGCGGCTGCAATATAATAATCCACAAAGAAAAAGTTAAGACGATTCTGTCGCCTCAACTCGCTACAGTCTCTGTTGTCAGTGGGAGGTGACTGCGGCAATAAGAGGCGGATCATTTTAATAATCATTATTTCTCACTAAAATAAGTGCCGGCTGGTGGATTAAATATATGCCGAATTAAACACAGACTCATAACATTGTTCATTCACCGTCTATTATTATGAGAGTGTCCGTATTTTAGCGTTACCATAGTAACCTGTTTAGTAGTAGTATTTCTATTCGTTTCCATCATCCAGGTAAGACAGAATTGGTTGCTCAGCCCTGTATCTTTGCTGCTTCATTACTGTCTTCTTTCCAGCAGTTTTCCTCCACCTTCCCATACTCCTCCTGCATTTAATTTGAATTCAGCATGTTTGTTCTCACGCATATGACCGTATTCAGTTGTTTTTTAAGGGTGTCTATACATATGTTGCAATACAAAAACATGACAGTATGCAGTGCATCACAATATGAACTTAACCTTCTCAGTTTAGTGTCTGTTCAGTGTTCATAGTGCACAGTCCATGATACCAATGTTAATGACTCGTTTTCCTTTAAAGAGAATGGGATTTAATGTGAGCACTAGCTTTTGACTTTAAAATAATTCATTTTTATTTTTGTTTAATGGGATGAAATTTGGGGTAAGTGTATAATTATAGTAAGACATTCATCTGTTTTTATATTTTTTTATATTTTCATATTGGCGTCATGGACGTTTTTTTCAACTTTGGGGGAGACATACAGGAAATTAAGCAATGAGACTTATCCATGGATTCATTCATTGTAGTCCAGCCCTCTCCTCCTACCTCCCACTCCAGTCCATCCCCACCATCCAACCACTATTAAATGTTTTATAAATCATAAACTTGTACGTTCCACCATCCATCCAGCACCACCAGGTAAATCAAGAAGCCTCACTGGTGATTAGACACCCTCCTGCAGCATGTTTCGATCATGTTAAAATAAAAATTACACAGAATAAAATGCAGTAAAATAAAATGCATCCTTTACAGGTTTTCCAAAACATAAATGAAACACACGTTCAGGAGCTCATCCTGGGAGGAACGTGGTGTTGCTGTCCATGGTGCTGAAGTGGATGATGAATTCATCTTCAGCCACTTGATTTATTTAACTGTTAGCAAGCCATGTTATATATATTTAGATATAAAACATGAATGACACAACACAGTTAGAATAGTCACAAATAGCACCTTCCTAAAATGCTGCTCTGTTTATGAAAAACAGCATTCTGTTACTTATGTTTATTGATTTAGTTGTTGTTAGGGCTTTATGATCAAGCACACATTGCTGAATGTTTCCATCCATCAGCATCACTGTCACCACATTAGAGGCATCACGAGTTGGAAAAAACATTGTGGATAGTTTCAGTCCATTCAACTGTTTAATGCAACTCTCAAGGATGATGTTATTTATTTTATTAACTTGACAGGACATAGAAAAAAAAACTGAACACAGATATAAATGTTCCAAAAATTACAACGGATACACGGAACATTGAAAAAATATATAGATACAGTAGCATTCAAAACATAACCTGATAGCAGTACATTCACATTTTATGTTTTGAATAGGCACAGCAAACAGAGCAGACATATACATGATATTACTTTTACTATTTGCATACTACTTGCCCTATCACTCGCTGCCCCCTTCTGGACAAAAAGCTTTTTCCAACAATACACCCTGGAATCATCATACAAATATTAAATATTCATATTAATTTAATAAGGTTTGGGAGTTTTAGTTCTTCTGTAACAGAACAGTTATTTTTACCCAAACAATGGTCTTTGCTGGGCTACATGATATCAGCCCGATTATAGGATCAATGCCGCATCTGGCAGAAAGTTATTTTACCATGTGTACAGAGATGTGGACCAATAGGAGCAAAGAGCGCTCTTCAACTGTAAACATGGTGAAGTGAAAGAGGAAGGATATCGGTGTGGCAAGGTGGAACTGTGAAACAGATGAAAGGCTACAAGTATTTTTTTTTCCTCATTTAGGCTTTTTTGAAACACAAGACAACCAGTATAACACACACTGTCTCGGACTCCATTGTTTGTTTACATTCTTCTTCCTGGTATTCTTTTTTTCTAGATTTCTAATCATTGAGGATTTTAGGGATTTCTAAAGTTTTAGAGATCTGTTCATCTGATTGGTGAAGATTCCAATATTCAATATTGCCAAAGCTGGCAATAGTTTCCCAGGTACTGCGGTATCTTATTTGTTTGGTTAGTTGATGGCGGCGTAGAGGTTGCTGGGATCATCAGAGACTCCAGCAGAAGAAGAGGAAGCTTTCACAGTGCTGTACGTCACTGTATCTTCACCATCATCATCATTTTTAACCTGTACCTGAGAAAGCAAAACAGCACCACACATATAGTAAATACACAACATTGATGAACAACATAACCTGACAAGAGTTCTTAAAGTCCCAATTGTGTTGCCATCTAACCAGATTTTTTTCAGTCTAGCTATGAACATGTTCACATACTGTAAGGCATGTTGTTTGCGGCATATGAAAATAAGTTAAATGCATTATAAAAGCAACACCAAATGCAGGAAGATGCAATATCACTGCCTCATCATTAGAGCATGACGAGATCTGACTATAATCATGTTACATTAAATTCTTATGTTGCTTAGATGTATTCCTATTGTGTGTATGACAATTTGTGTCTCATTCTTTCAGCTAAAATCCAGGTAGTGGGAAACAGAAATATATAAAATAATGTATAAATAATAAATATATATAAAACAACATAATTCAAAGTGGAAAGTATCAGTCTCTGTTGTAGGATGATATCAGTATACAAAAGCTCTTCTATGGGAGAGACAGGGCACTCTTGCCCTCCTACGAGACTCTCTCACGGTCCACACTGAACTCCACAGGACCTTCAAAGAATGGTTATATCATTTTCGTAGAGAACTGATTGGTCATTAGCAACTGCTTTTAATCTGTTATCTTTAGCATCAGTTACCATACGGATGTACCCTGGTAAGAAGAGAACCATCGTCATAACCCTGAAAACCCAGGGTTAAACCTGAAGTTACCTCTTAAATCCTGCTTCGTATTACAGGCCTCAGGTGAATGTAAGACCAATATGCACTCTCTTTAGCTCTGCCTTTGGGCTCTACCTACTCTTGAGGGGACTATCTGGCTCTTTAGCAGCTAAATGCTCCACTTTATGAACCAGCTACTCTCTGTCTGCAAATTGTACAGAGGATTTTTAGTGTTTTTTCTCAGAAAACTCCGGCCTATTGCTGTCACAAGAGTGTAAACCAAAACAGTAAAGTTGCAACCAGGCCTTTAAACAGTGAAACTCAATATAAAGCTCCATAAAGCCGAGGGCAGCTGCAATAGCAAATGCTGACTGGGTGTAACTGGGCTCAGCAGCCTCTGCAGAGACAAAGAGGCCTGAGACGCATTGACGGAGGAAGTTAAGAAATAGAAAAGGAGAGTGACTGAGCAAGAAGCAACCGGACATGGGTTTTTGGCCATAAGTAATGTAATCATAACACATGTACATCTATTGCTGTCCATTTACAACAGTGGTATTGCAACAGGGGGCGCCAAATACCAAATCTAACATAAGGTTGTTTTAAAAATAAAAATTAATGGTTCTATCTTGTGTTACTTAAAATTTTCTTTTTCTGTATTCAGTAACATCACCAGTTCTACAATTCAGACAACTTACCCGGCCTTTACTCTTCTTGGTGTAACTGACGGAGGCGTAGGAAACACCATCTTCAGGATCAGCCTACACAGAGAAGACAACATCATGGCTGCTCAGTAACATGTGGATTATATACTGTCTCACTCATAACCACTTGATATTTCTCTCTTTTTTGTTTCTCATGGTTGTTTGAATGCTGTCTGTTTGAACTTCTGCACATTAACTTACTGGTCACACTCATGACTTCCTGCTTGACACTATTTTTACAAATGCTAAAAATTCAAGTGTGTCACTTTCCTTCCCCTTTCCTTTCTCATGCAGAAATAAATGAAAGAGTGTCACTGTGTGTCTTATACAGTTGCTTTAGAGAGTGTAACTTTGTACTGGGTGTAATGTGGGACCTCACCGTGTCCTGACTGGTTTCTGGAGCAGACTCAGTCGCCACAGGTTTTAATCTCTGCCCCTGGACAAACACAGTTCACATTTCATTAACAAAAATAAAAAGTGTGCTTTTATAGAAGGTGTTAAATGCTGTAACTGTTTCTTGTTAAACAACAGCCAGGTGCATGAAGCTCTTGGAGTCTTGTTATCACTGCACTGAACTCTGGTGTCGGATGGAGGGATAAACTGTTGTTCATCAAGAAGTAGGTATGTATGGATTAAAAGATAAGGCATGTTAGTAAGTAAGCTTTAAGTGGTGATAGGCGTATTTTTGAACGTTAGATGGAGCTGAGCTAGCTTCCCCCTGCTTCCAGTCTTTATACTAAGCTAAACACCTCCTGGCCCGGCTCCATACTTATTGCCCAGCACCAAACCACTCATCTAACTCTCCATGTCATGTTATTATTTGGTATTTTTTTTAACTTAAACGTGTATTTATCAAAACATCAAACTATTCCTTTAACAGATATTCTTCCACTTCCACTCAAAGACTTCCTTGACCTTCAGTAGATCACAGTCAGTATTGATTATTCTCTTTCAGCTACAGAGGCACACTACAGGGTTATGAACTACCCCTTTGCTCCGTAAAGTCAAAATTGTACCATTTGATTATCCCGTTTTATACTCACGGTGTTTTCATCCATCTGTGTTTTGTTGCCTGTAAAGACAGAAGAGAATCTACTTTAGCTTCCACAGTGAAAATTCAGCTTTTTCAAAATATCTTGTCTAGTTTCACCTGTGGTCCCTCTCACCTTTAGTTCTCTTACATCTGATGGCCGTCATGATGATTACTACGAGTGCAATTAAACCTACAGGCACAATGATGTACAACCACCAACCTGCAAAGTAAATGAAAACATTTGAGGTGTAGTTTGCTCTAGTAAAATATATTTAGCCAAAAGAGAAGAGAAATTACTCTTATAATGGAATATCTCCACCTACAAACAAGTGTTGGTCTGACATTCATACTTTTGGCTTCAAACGCTGAGAGAAAGACTGAAAGACAGAGATATTCTTGAAAGAGAAACTACCTATTGAGTTGGTGCTTGTTTGGTTGATGTTCCCAGTTATCCTTAATGTTGTTGTTGCGGTTGTTGCTGTTGTTGCATCCTCTTAAAAACAAAAACAATAACAACAAACTGTACGGTGAGAAGAAAAATGACCATCTGCAATAGCTAAATGGAAAGGATTTAAATGTGTCAAATATACAAGTGTACTTCGTGATTCACCTGGTTTCTTTGGTGACTGAAGGCTGAAAGTAAACTGCTGCTCTGGTTGAACAAAAAGATCAGTCACTTCACACTTAAGATGCTCTGACTTCAGGTTAAGATCATAAGTAGGGAATGTCACAGTAACTGAGATCTTAGGCTGTGATGTGCCCTTGTCTTCATTATCGTTATCCAGATCTTCACCCTGATACAGCCACTTCACTCTGTGTTCACCCCCTCTGTCAGTCGACACAGAGCAGCTTAATGTCACCTTATCAGAGTCCTTATGTTCAGTCACTGGTGAAGATGGAGATATTGTGAGAGAAAGACAACAAGAGTAAAATAAACTTCATCACTATAATCATAATTATTGTAATGTTTCAGTATTTTGTTCTAACAAGACAGTTTGAGCTGAAAACATTATGATGTAAATACTCACTGGTAATAACAGACAGATGAACGTGAGAGTCTGGACCTTGTTGTTGTCCTGATATAAACTGTCTGCAGGTATATTGACCAACATCCTCAACTGTGACATTCTTTATAACCAGAGAACAGTTCGCTGTAACACTCAGTCTGTCTGATTTAGAGTTGGTGTTTTCACCAATCTGTCCACGGTCAATCAGAAGTATTGACATTGTGTTTCCTGAACCAACAAAGAGCCACGAAGTACGCTGACATTTGTCCTGATAATCTCTCACATTGTCACAAGGTAAAGTGACTTCATCTCCAACTCTGCCAACAATACGGGGGGAGAGTTGTTCAGCCACTGCTGTTGAAAAGATGAGAGAAAAATAAGCTGAAATATAAATATGGCTTTTATGGTGACACAGCTTAAGTTTACAAATGTTTCTGGTCCTTTGTTTCCAAATTTCATAAAATTCAACATGTTGAAAAACTAATCACAGACTATCATAATTCATTAGTTAAATAATAGTTGCAGTAGCAGTAGTAATACTATTAAATGTTTTCAAATGCTTCTGGTTATTTGCATCCTTACCTGGAAGCAGTAGCACCATCATCAGAAATAAAGACGTTTTAATCCATCTGAACTCAAACATCGTGCTTCTCTGTCTTTTTCTGAACTGATATTTGAACATCTTCTTCCTGTGACAAGTAATGTATTACTTCCTCACTGTGACCGTCTTCTTTTTCTCTCTTTTGTAAGACGCTGTAGGCGGAGCACTAGCAACTTTTCAGCTTTTCATTTCCTTGAACTCCTGAATTTGAACCACCACAGATTCAATTTAATAAAATATAAACTTATCTCACCGCAGAAACCTTCATAGACTGATAACTGAATCTTGCTTGTTGGATGTGAGGGTGAGAGTCTCAACTGAACAACTAACCAAAACCACAACACACTTCCGTTCCACTGTGGTATTTCAGTTCTAACATTTTTTTCAGTTTTTAATCATGATTTATTTCATATTCCGGTGAATAACAGCTTGAATCTTTGATTAGAGAGAATAACCCAGGAGGGAACAGCAGGCTTTCTGACATGTTGGTCACAAGTACAGCAGACTACATAACGTATTGTGATGTCAGCTGAATTGAAAGGCTTCCTGAAATTGTTTGTATTCTGGTGATTCTTAAAACCTTTACACTCCTTTAAAAAGATTAGTGCTTTACTTCTGATTACTGTTTTGGTTCAAACACCATGGTGACAGACCTTAAGTGATGTAGAAACAACGCATTATTCATGCATTATAGGACATAACGTGAATTCATGTTGCTTCCTATTATGTGATGATCGAGTCACTATTATTTTGTTTATGTGATAAGTTAATGCTTAATGGATCATCAGTGATCATCAAGTATTAAGTCACAATTTATAGTCCAATATTAAGCTGTTTTTACCAAGAAGCAACATATTGACATTTTCATGTAACCACCAGTTTGATAAAAACATCATATTTTGATGAAAATACACAGATACACCTCTTTTTTAGAGGCTGAACAAATGCATGGGTTTCAAATGGTTTTTGATTAATTCATGTATGTAAGTAACATTAGTTAACTGATGATTCATTAAGTATTAATTAATCACATTAAAATGAAGTTAAAGTGACTTCATCATTTCACCACATGAAGCATGAATACAGTATTGAGATGCTCAGGTGATAGTACCTGCAAGGAACATCAGTTACTGAAGCAATTAAAAGTGATATTCAAAAACGTTCTATGTAAACTATATAATTACATCAATAGCGCCCTCTGGTGGCTGACTGCAGTATAGGTCATAAAGCCTGCTGCCTCCATGTAAGCAGATGGGACATGAGCCAAATATAAAAACTCAATGTTCATGTCAAATAAAATGTTCCCAAAGATGGTTTCTGTCATTTTAGGTAGTTCTTATCACACTTATGTATGTTAAAGTGTTTATTTTTCTGATCAGTTTGGTATTAATTTATTATTTAAAGGTATAAAAAAGGGATTTTACATCATGATTGACAGCTGAGCCCTGATTACAACCCAGATCAATGCTGTGCAGACTCTGGCTCTGAATGACGGCCATGTCCAGGATATTTTGGTTTCATTTTTGTACAGTGGGAGGAAGTGGAAACGTGACGACCATCCGTAATATGTCGATGATATAACCTTTAAAGAGTTGTTGATTTTAATCAACTGGTTTAGTTTTACCCTTTGGTTTGTCAACCTCTGCTTCCTTGCCATTAATTCAGCAACTTTTGCTGTCAATTGGACTTAAAATGAAACTGCATCATTGAATACAGTTCACTCAGCTGGTTTCACAATGTGGGTGCTGAGGAGAAATTAACACAATTGATCTATTCTTTTTTAGGAAATAATATCAAACACCTACCACAGCACCCCTACTACCTTTCCCATTAATGTAAATTAAACCAATATGTTACAATATGTTGAACGGCTGCTTTAAAATGGACATGGACTTCATGTAGTACACATAAAGCTCACCTAATAGTTAAAATAAATAGAAAAAAGAATGCTCTATAAAATGAGACATGAAACAGGCTCTATCATTGGGATCCCAGCTACACACATAGTGGTAACTATTCTTATATTATTATTTCTGAATGTGTCGGACATCATATGAGAAGGAGGAGATGGTCTGGTACAATTTACTTTATTAAGACAGGAATGAAAGTTATACAAAGAAATTATGATTTATCAGTCACATTAATTAGGTTTCTCCACCACGAGAAGCAGCAGATGTTTTTTCTCTGTAGACACTTATAGGTATCACTTTTTACATTTTGAATGAAAAGAGGTTTTGATGTACGATTTGTAAATGAAAAGTGGAGGACTCAACAAATTTTTTTTAAATTCTTCTTCTTATTGTTATAAAAAAGCAAAAAAAAAAAAAAAAAAAGCAAGAGTGTGTGGTGTGCCGTAGTGATCATGCATTTGTTTTGTTTTGAGATGCTGGTGCTGTAGTGAGACATCTAGTTTGAAGGTCACACTTTTAAAGCAAACTGAACAGAGGTATAAATGTGCAATTTTTTTATGTTAAACAAATTCACATGTATGGAGCCTTACAAATGTTGGATTATTACTTCAGCATTTTACATTGTATTACTAGTTTACATATTACTCTTACTCTAACAAATATATTTTTTAAATCACCTTTCCCATTCTTCTCACTTGAAGATAGAACTGATAATTGAGTCAATGTAAGTATAATACAGCTACATGGAGGAGAACAAATACCAGTACATGTAACTTTGTACTGGATGAAGTGTGTGATCTGACCATGTCTTGACTGGTTTCTGGACCAGAGTCACTGCAGTGTTTAAGCTCTGTCCCTGGACAAGCACAGACTTGTTACAGTTTTCTATTTTAGATAAGATAAGGTAATGCTGTTAGTCCCACAGTGGTGATATTTGTTTTGCTACAGCAGCGAGAATACAGCACAATAGAAGTGAAGGTAAAAAAAAGCAAGATATAATAAATAAGTAAAAGTCTGACAGCAGCAGGAAGGAAGGACCTGCAGTGTTTCCTTCACAGACTGTAGGTAAATCAGTCAGTGGAGGAGCTGCCCAGTGCTGTCAGAGTGTCCTGCATGATCCTCCTCCTCAGCTCCCTCTGCACTTCCTTCAGTTCTTCCTAATTTCCTGACCGTTAGGCACTCTTTTTGTCCTTAAAGAGAACCTTTATGTCAGGAGTAATCCAGGGTTCCTCTTCCCTTATTATCATTTAACCTTACATCTGGAGAGGAATTCAGGTAACAGGTGCGCACGGCCACAGATGACTGTAAGCTGCAACAATACCGTGGCGTGCACACCTGCAGCCAGCTACTCCCTGCAGCTGCTGTGCCAAATAACCTTTGGCTATAATTCACACAAGGCCCAAACAAAAGAACTGCTAAATGTCCGTGGTAAAATAAAGGATGGTGAATTAACTACATCAAACTTTATCAGGCACCTGAAAATGCATCCAGATAGGTGAGTCACCTGGACGGTGAGCAAACATGTATTACTCAGCATCAGCAATCTTACGTTAGCTTGCTACCAGCTTTGAGGACAACTTGATTAGATTGGTGTTGGCTTAATATTTAAAAAAAGCAGAGTGCCTGCTGGCTTTGCCATAAAAATAAAAAATTGTCAGGAAACATAATCATCCACGTTCCGTTAAACTGAGAGAAAGAACACATTAGTTATTAACATCGGATTCTTATTTAGGAAAATATGTATATATATATAGTTATAGTGAGCTGTATGTTCATGTCACAAGGCAAAATACAAATATGATCATATACCATACAACTATGCAGATATTGTATGTTAACAGATAAAGGAGTGATGGTTGCTGTGTTTTAATTCCTTGAATATAGCTATGCAGTGTTCTCATAAGGCTGGATGGCATGCAGCAGATCGTAGAAGAGACTTGAGACTTGACTTCCATCTGAGGAGTCGCACAGCACTAATCAAGAATGTTGCTAAACCCACAGCCACAATGATGAGCCTTGAAAACTTTATAAACGTTCAAAGTTTTGCAGCTAAAATGACAACACATGACATATTTTACATTATATTAAACACTGCTAAATATAATAGATTTGTTTCCAACTATAGTAGCCTATTTGAACTGACAATGATGAATTATTTTTATTTTGACATCTGAATACAGTATTTCATAAAGGACAAAAAAAAAAAGACAGCAATGTCTTCACACTTTCATATTTATCCAAATTATCATCTCATCTCATAATGGCAATGTGTCAAAAAAGAGTAGGATAATGCCACTGTGTCTTCACATCATTAACTTAAGAAGATAGAGACAAATTAAGACAACAAGAGTAAAATTAACTTCATCACTGTCATACAGTTAAACCTCGCGCTGCTGCTCGGGCGCTGTCGCATTATTAACCCTTCCACTGCTGTTCAGTTCTCCGTTGCTTTCAATCAGAACTCCATCTTTCCTGAGTCTGTGTGCAGTACAGAGGTGCTTAGCTCATGGTTTCACTCCACCTGCCAAACTGTTTTAGACACTGTGGCTCCATTAAAATCCAGGCAGCCTAAAACTAAATCTGAGCCCTGGCTAAATGATACGACTCATGCGGTCAGACGTGAGTGCCGTAGAGCTGAGCGCAAGTGGAAAAAGGACAAACTGCAGGTGTCTTTTCAAATGTTAAGGAACTGCTGGCGTCATTATCAAAAAACTGTGAAAGATGCTAAAAGAAAACATTTCTCAGATATTATCCTGTCAAACTGTCACAAGCCTCGTGTTTTGTTTAACACTATTGACTCACTTCTGAATGCCCCACAGACTACCTGTATAGAGGCGTCCCCCCGCTGTGTGTGAAAACTTCCTTCACTTTTTTATTGATAAGGTCACTTCAATTAGGGCTCAAATCTCACCTTCAGCTTATGACCCCTCAATCTCTGTCCCCTGCTCTGCTGTCTTTGACCATTTTGAGCCTGTGACTTTTTCCTTTTTACAGGAGGTTGTTGGTCATTTGAAGCCCTCAGGTTCTCCAAATGATGCTGTCCCCCCTCGACTATTTAAGGAGGTTTTCCCCACTGTAGGACCATCTGTTATTGCAGTCATAAATAGCAGTCTGACCTCAGGTGTGGTCCCTGAAAATTTTAAACATGCAGTAGTACAACCTCTGATTAAAAAACCTGCTCTAGATCCTGCAGTTCTTGCTAATTTCAGGCCTATCTCCAAACTGCCTTTCC